GTGCTCCTCCAAGGACAGCCTCAGCCGCGGCAGGGCACTCAGAATTTATCGGCTAAAACAGAACCAGTCAACAGCCGGGCTAGCAGTTAACACGAAAATCCCACGATCCGAGAACAGAGCCTCTGCCTGGCGTGGGGCCGCACACGGCACTGTGGGGACCCTGGAGCAGAGCAGGGAAGTTGAGGCGTGGGCTGCTGCCGCCCGCTCAGTGCCCAGTCCCCCACAGACCCTGGAGCAACCGGACCAGGTTGCAGGAAGACCACCCTTCTCCCTCGCCTCCACTGCCACCCCTCCAGAAGCGCTCTGGACTGGGGGGCTTGCCGACAGTGTGGCTGTGTTCCTCTGGGGCTCTGCCATCTGCATTATTACCCTTCACCCACGGCCACCATGGGGGAGCCCTATAGGGTCAGGTGGGCTGCACACCATCTGGGTACAATGAGGGCAGTACAGACACAGACCAGGACTTTCCCCTGCCCTGGAGCCCACCAATTTAACACCTGAGGACTCCCAACTGCCACTGCACTTTAGGGTGTGCCCCCCTCCCCCTGGCAGTCAAAGTACAGAGTGACGGCCCCTGACCCCAACCGGCAGCTGCACGCCCATGGCCGGGTGGGCTGGGGCTCTGGAAACAGCCACAGTGGGAAGTTCCACAGCCCCCACCTGCCTGATCTCAACTTCACCAAGATCAAAGGGTTCTTCTTTCAGGAAGCACACACACCCAGCAGGTTACTCCGGCTTCTCTTTGAGAAGGAGGCTAGTTCATCCCTAATCTGAATCCAGAATATTGACAGTTTCCAGATGAGCATCACTCAGTGAAGCACTGTACTTGGAAGGAATGTCTCCCCGAAAAGAAGGGGCACGAGGAAAGTTACTAAGCCACACCCCAGAAATGGTTTGGAATGACAAGAGTTCCACATGGGGTGCGTGGCTGAGCATAACCACTCACCACATGGTAACCTCCATACATCTGGGCAACACCACCTACATACTGATCGAGTCTTCCTCAAAAATGGAAAACACAAATTCACCCCGGACCATCACTAACATGCTCTTTGATGATGGCCAAGAAGACCCCATGGGGTCCAGTCCAGGTCCCCCTTCCCCCACGCCAAGATTTCACCCCTCAGCACTGTCACCCGTCACCCAGGATCAACAAGAAAGCTATAAGCCAGCATGAAACACAAATTTTGATATTTTTGTGTCAAGTGAAGACATCCGCTATCCAAAATGTTTCACCTTCTTAAAGTCAACTCCTTCTGAACGAAAGCAAAGAGACTTAGAAATCCTGGACATTTTCCATGAAAAAAATCATAATAGTGTTTAAAAGACTGCCTTAAAGGAAATAAAAGGGAGGAAGAGTGCAAATTCATTTTAATGTTAAACTACTGTACACATCAGGCTGGTTCGTCTGTTACTCAGCTTAGGTAGTTATTCGTGACTCGAACAGCGAAAATTTTAAATGTCATATAAGAGTATTTTAAAGTTTTTTCAAATATTTTTTAAAACTACAAGAACAATGAGTTTTTTGGTTTCAGAATGTTTCCCACTGAGTTGTGATGAACGAAAGCTCAGTGCTCAGTATTAAACCAAATCAGGGATTAAATCAAGAATTCAGTTTGAATTGTACATCTATCCAAACACAACAGTGGAAAAAAATCTGAACTGCAGGCAACAGTCTCTCTTAGACACATCCTCCCGCAGCTAACATATAACACTTCAACTCCTCCAGGCCCGGAGACCTCCCAGAACTGACTTGTGCTCACTTGGGCCAAAACGTATTAAATTACATAGGGAGGGGAAGTGCAAAAATCCATCCACAATCTGAGGCAAAAACACGAGTTTCGATTTGAAAAATGAAAAGCTATTGGGGTGACAATCTACTCCAACACTTGAAGCAATCAAGATATTTCACCCCAAAGACAGATGTCCAACAAGGGGTGGCCCACGCTCAGGCTGACCGCAGGACAAACACTGCGGTTGGACACAAAGTTCTCAGATGGAGATGTGTCTTGAGTCCAGGGGTCAGACAACAAGCCAAGAGATGACAGCGAAGGAAGGGAGAGGACCAGATGAAACCCTGTCTCCTCCCTTCTCCTAACGCACACAGCTTTCTGCTGAATTGCTGGGACTGGCTGACTCACCAACTCTCTGCCTCACCCTGGTCAGCGCCTGGAGCTGGCTTTGGAGGGGCAGTGGCCTGAGACAGGGGAAATTAGGGACGTGGTTCTCAATTCTGGGGCACAATCTCCAGGGCAGTATCATTTTCCACTTTTAAAGACTTTTCCCAAAACTGAAACTGGCAGGGCCACTGAAATTACTCAATTATAGATGAAACAGAGGCCACGCTGCTCTTCCTTCCCTTCCAACAATGTGATACAGCCCGGCGACGCTGGAAACAAGGCCCCTTCCACAGCCACGTCTGGAAAGAGTCATCGCAGCCTCAGGAACCTTGACAGATGTGCTTTCAGAGACACCAGAACGCTACATGATACATTTCTCTGCTGGCCTCACCCTGTATCTGAAAAAATCATGCTGCTGCCCACCCCAAAATGACCTTTTGACAAGTAGACTTGGGTTCTCCTTAACTGGTGACAGAAGTCACACAAACAAAAAGCCACTCCTTGGACAGCTGTCCCATGCAGAGGCTGCCACCCTCCCCTGGCAACCTACACAGCACCAGCAGGCAGGACGAGAGCAGCCTCGGGGGACTGCAGGGAGGAGAGGGCTGGGCAGAAGGCAGCCCAGGGCTGGGAGGCCCCACACACAGGCAGTGCCAGGAAGCACCAGGGTCACACCAAGACAGTAGCTGCTGCAAGACCAGGAGATGGGGAGGAAGGAGGAGGGCTGCACAGCTGCACCAAGCCGGAAGGAATCCGAAAATCCAGATCCCCTCTGGGCAAGGCCAAGGCCGAGCAGGGGGCAGCCCCAGGCATCCTAAGCCCTCAGCCCATCACTGGGAAAACTCTCCCACCCCAAAGGCAAGACGCAGGAGCACTGCGGGTCCCTGAACTCACCGCAGGGCCTCAGGTGCCAGACTTCCAACAAACCTGTGGCCTCCCCAAAGGGGTGGGCCGGAAAGGTACAGATTTCAGGACACCCCCCTAATCAGAGGCCACACACGGCGGGGGGGAGCAGGGAAGCCAGATCCGGACGGAGGGTGGTGTTCCCTGGGACAGTCAGCAACACTGCAGCCTCGGATGTCCGAGGCGCCCGGATGTGACCACTGGCCGCACCGGAGCCCCAACACCCCAGCCCAAGACCCCAGCGTCCCTGCCCTCCCGGCCTTCACGCTGCGCCTGCCCCCATGGTGCAGCCCCCGGATGCCTAAAGTGCACCCAGGACCCTGCGCTCGGCTTCCCGGGCACCGCCGCAGCCCAACTCGCTCCGGACGCAGCGGACACGAGCCCTGAGCGGGCGGCGGGATGCAACGCCCGCAGTGCGACTGGCGCAGCTTCCGACGCGCGGGGCGCGCTGCCCAGACCCCGACCCGACGGCCGAGGAGCGACGCCACGCCAGGCGAACAGCCCCTCCGGCCCCGCTGAGCCGGCGGCCCCGGGCGCGCTCATCCCGCCGCCGGGCAGGAGATTGCCCTGGATTCGAGAACACGCGAGTGCGCACAGGACGATGGGGACGCGCACTGGGCGGAGGTGCGGATCGGTCCTTACTGGGGAAAGCAGGGCCAGGAGAGTGGGACAGGGACCTGCTCTTGCAGGGAAGGAGAGGTCCGTCCGACACCCAGGAGAGGGACATGGGGGCTCCTCCAGCACCTGGAGGAAGTGGAGAGAGGGTGTGTTCCGGAAGGCGGAGGGAAGTACACTTCGGGTCCAGGATAATGGTGGGGGGTCGCAAAAGGTGAATGGGAGGCGTCATCCCTGGTGTAGGGAGAGGGGATGAAAGGTCTTTCTGGGACCTAAGAGAAGCAGGAGGGAGTCTGTTTCGGGCCAGGGGTCGGGGACCACTAGGAGCGAGCAGGGCACCACGCAGGACCGGGATGCGAAGGGAGGGGAGCCCGTCGGGCAGCGGGCAGGCTGGGGGAGGAGTGCGCTCCGGCCCGAGGGTACAAGCAGGAGACTCGCTTTCGGACCAGGCTGGGGTGGGGGGACCCGCCGCAATGGGAGGACGACTGTGTGAGCAAGTCTCGGAGTGGAGGGAAGGGTGTCGAAGGCACTCACGGAGAGAGGGCCGGTCCCAGCTGGGAAGGGGGTCTGCTCGGCAGCCAGGGCCGGGGCCGCTCACCTTAG